CCTAGTTTAAAATTAGTTTTCATATGTGCAACACATAGTGGCAGAATGATAGGAACCTAGCCTGTGTCCCAGGAATGATGACAGGCCTATAATCCAGCCACACATAACCCCATAAGCTAGGTAAGTATGACGCACAGCACTGAGAGGAGAGTCTGTATCATCTTCTACAAGTACCAGGCCACATATGGGGCTGCGTCATCAACCCACCAATATAGCATCTACCACGTGAAATGAAATCTACAATTTTCCGCTTAGGGCTCTTGCTCTAAACAGATGTTTGATGTATCTCATACCTTTTTATATAAATATTTCGAAGTCTGGTAGTGGTTATCTGAACAACTAAACATCTGTTTCTATTTACATTTTAAAATATCCTCTTCGAGACGTTTATCACTTGGGTGTTAGGATTACCACAGACGGAGATTTAGAGGTTTAAAGGTTTCCATTCCTGTTTCTCATATAGAAGCTGTTTTCTCAATGTCATGCCATACAAGAGCTATTTTCAGTCCTCTTTTCAGACTCTATTAACATATGTAATTACCTTCGATTTCACAAACCAACTAACATGGCTCAGCGCATGACTATTTCTTTGAGGAAGAATCACAAACAAGCGCACAAAGCAACAGAAACAACTACTTTGATTTGATTTACACTTCCAACCCCCAAATCTTCTTGTGACTTTATTTTTCTCTGTCATTAATTAGGGGTAACAATTCCTGCTATATATATACTTACAGAAGAGGAATCAAAGTCACTGAGTTAAGGAGAGTGCCCCTGGAGAGACTGCATTCATTCCTCGGAAGAACTGTAAATTACAGTGTAGTTATTGACTCTAGGCCTCCTCTTCAGCTCCACAACACACCCTCTGAGGCTGAATTAGAGGGGTTAAATTATTTGAACGTACTTTCATTTAACAAATATTTCTGAGCACTTGCTATGTGTCAGGTACTATACAAGGACATTGGAAATATATGGCCAGCAAGACAAACGTAGCGCCTGCTCTTCAAAAAACATCTTAGGGAAGTGTTAGGTTTTTTTTTTAGGGAAGTGTTGATTAAGCTCACGGGACTTCCAATCCGTTTATACACCAAGGGCTCAATTCCATTTGATTTTTCAAATAATTACTCAAAATCATAATGACTCATAATCACTCCACTCTGCTCCTAAAAATGGGAGACCACATGAACCACATGAAAAGCCCACAGAACACAGAAACCTGCTACAATATGAAGGCCTTACAAAGGTCAAAAATACCACCCTGGAAACACCTTATAATCTATGAACGGGAAGCATGTTGCTATGCCCTACAAAATGAATTAAAATTTTTCTTTTAAAGGCAGAACACTGTAAGCTAATGTTTACCTATCAAACACTAGACTTAAAGCTAAGCAAATCCTCTATAACTGTGCTGTCCAGTGCAGTAGCCACCCGCCACTTGTCGCTATTTGCATTTAAATCAATGAGAAGTTCAGTTCCTATGGCACACTAGCCACATTTAAAGTGGCTCACTAGCCTCAAATGCTTAGTGGCTACCACTTATAAGTCATTATAAATATATCATTGTAAGTCCTTTCTATCATCCCAGAAGTTCTGTGGGACAGTGCTGTTCTACAAATACCTCTGCAATACTAAATCTGAAAATTACGGTGTAATAAAATGTGATGATGCATCCGTATTCTGCTACTACACATAAAAAGCATGTTCATCGGTAATATAGTGCCACTTCTTTCTTCCTAAATAAGTTGAAAAATGATAATGTTGAACATCTCTCCCAGTGTACATGAGTAAACAACTGGCGAATTGAGAATAAAATTAGGAAACAAGTGAAAACCTGATTACATTTAGCCCCTTCCTTCCTATTCCTTTTACTAGAATGTGTTGGTGGTACTCTGAATTCTCTGTGCAAGGACGTGTGCTTTTAGCCTAGTAGCTAGCAGACGTGAGGACAGTTAAGAATGAAGATGGGTGATCAACCCAAATAATGCAACTCAAATTCAATTTAGACTGACGCAACAAACTTGAGTGCCTACTGTGTGCCAGTGATACACAAATAAACAATCACCATTTCAACCTTTTATGAAGTCAATTTAGTAGAGGTGTCCAACGTATAAATAAAAACAATATATGCTGTGAAAAGTGCACTGAGACAAGTACGTGCAAGGCATAAAGGTGACACAGGAGGATATTTTTAAATGTCTTTCGAGGAGAAATCAGGGGAAAATTTCTAAAGGAGGCACCCTAGGAGCAGAAGACAAAGCTGTGCAAAGGAACCACAAGTGGTTTGGCAATGCTGGATTAAAGTATCTTTGGTGGTCAACAGGGATGGAGACAACAACTGAGGGAGGGAGATGGGGTTAGAGAGCTATTTCCATGCCAGAACGTGACCACTCGCAGTTATGTCAAGCTTGCCCTGGTGGGTCTATAAGCTTTCCTCACCAAAACTGCAAGTAACATGAAAACCAATCTCAAAAACTTGATAGGTAATTTGCCTATGTCTGCCATACAGCTAACAATATTAGACAGCAATCATTAGTAGGAATAAAGACATGTCTCTTTGTTACACAGTACCATTTAATAATACGTATCGGTCACAAAAACATTGTAATTGGAACTCTTTGTTTTCAGGGAAAAACCTCTGTTGCCTGTTTTATTTGGAATATCCTTAGAGTATATATCAATGAACACATTTTCAAAACAGATGGATTACCCCCGCATCTAAATATTCCCAATAAGAGTTTATCTGACAGAGAAGCAAATGAAATAAATAAAAGAAGGAGGATGGAGAAGCAACACTTCTGTACTCCAGACCAGAGTAGTTGCTTTTTCCTCCCAAATTTTCATAGCAAAACTTCTGCTACTCTGTATACTGCCTTGCACTTTCTGCTACAACCAGCCTATGACCAACAAAACTATATCATGTCCAGCAACCTAAAGGACTTCTGTGGCTGCTCGTGTAAATCCTTGGAAATTATCTGCATCTTCTGGACACTCCCCTTCACTTTACACGTATGTTCAAGTCTCAAAACAAAACCAAACACTTCCACAGAATCAGTTCTCTTCAAATTACTGGGATCCTCTCTCCTCTCTTCACAATAAACTTCTAGAAAATGTTAGCAGCCTAGAGGCCTTAACGAATTTACCAAGCGATTCTCCTCCCTTTGGTACAAACAAGACTTTGCAGATAAAAATACATATACAAGTATATGTAGATAAACTGGCTGGTCCTTAGGCAAACACAAAATATTCCTATTCGCACGAACACGTGGCCCTTAGGTAAAGGGAGATTTCCAGTGCAGCATATATAATGATTGAAAGAATGGGTTCTGGAGTCAGCCTCCCTGGGTACTAGTTATGGGTTATCACTGACCAACTCTTACTTAACCTCCTGAGCTTCCATTTCGCCAACTGTAAAACAGGTTACAATGTTTCATCAAGTATGTCCCCACATCGGCACAGAGTTAGCCTATCTAGTGACAGATCAATACGTTAGCTATTTCATCCCTAAAGACGGATGGTTTGGCAGCTATCTATTCCATCCAGCAAGCTAGTTACCTCTGTAAGTTCTCATGCCTCACCGTGCATCAAAAATACTTAGGGAGATTTTTTTTTTTCAATACACTATGTTTAGGACCTATTTGGATTTGGTTTCGATTGGGCCGGGAATCGGAGTTCTTTCTAAAGCGCTCCGGTTGCTTATAACGTGCAGCCTGGATTGAGAACCACATAGAGGTCTCCGTATGCCCACCGATACACACACCGACACACTGTTCGATATCTAACTGAATCAGCGCAGGCCCGCCCCCCAGCCCGAACGGACCAGGATCGCCTAGATGCTGTGACGACGAACTTAAAGGGCGGTGGGACTTACACCCACGTCCGCATACTGCTCACCGAGGATCAACTCCCACAAACTCCACCAGATGCGGCCTTGACACTCGGCGCGGTCCGGATCTGTCTGGGGCACACGCCCCCTCGCCCCTTTGGCGACGGCCCCCCGCGGGCTGCCGGCCCTCCAGACGCGTGCGTCACCACGCCCTCGCCTCCCGCGCCCCAGCCCCCTCCAGCCCACGGCACGTGACTCGACACGCGCCAGCTGCACGCGGGCTCCATCAAAACAAAAACAGAGAGGGCTGGCCGGCCGGGCAGCGGGGGCG